CTACAGGAATGGCTTTTGCGACCCGTTCGGGAGATAAATAACAAAATAAAACACCGCTACCCACAGGATTGCTCAGCACTTCCTCCGCTATACCATACACCATACGACTCTCTTGCGCTCACACTTGCTCTTTCCAGCCCCCTATAGGTCGCCTCAACGCTTCGCCACCTGACCCAAGCGGTCCCATCACTCCGTGCGACACGCCAGTCACGTGTTAATTACCTCCGGCCGTTTGCTGACTGATGCTGACCTTATGGTGACTCGTATGCGTCTGCACCTTCGGTATCTTGACGGAAACGAGGGGGAGTGAGTGCTGGAGGGCGGGCATGAGGAAGACGCCCCTCGATAGAAGTGTCCGCGGGTCCCGGAGCTAATGCAGCTAGAAGTCGCATTGGTTAAGTCACTCCGGAGCTTCGGTGCGCAGAGATAAATCGCGGAATGGGTCCGAGTACGCCTCGAGGATGTTGGGAAGTCCGGAGCTAAATAGAAAAAGTCTTTTAGAGCCCATAGAAGCCTAGAGGCGTGCGAGCGCTGTGTCGAATAAGCTCCGGGGCGCTTGTATGATGTGCTGAATCCGCGTTTTCGGGGGTCAGACGATCCTGAGGCTTATCACCGTAACGTTAAATCTTTATTTTCCCTAATTCCAAGGCTTTGTCAGGGCTAGCAAGACTGCCCAAAGTTCGCACGCCATGACAGATCTTCTATGTCACCTGCTTGCGTGGCTCCTGCCAGATTTGGACACTTCTGCTGATCCCATATCTGTTTTGGGCCCGAACAAACGCCCGGCGTTCAGAGGACGAGAAGGGTAATTGTCCAGTCCACTTACTGCCTGCCTGGCAACCGCACTCCGCATGGTCTTTGACAGAGTTCTTGAGCAGTGCCTTGAGCAGCGACCGCCACACTCCACGACGATCCTGAGGCTCCAATCTGCTCATGCTTCTTGCTCACAATTTATCATCTTCGACGCCTCGTTTCCGCTGCTGCCAGCATGTGTTGCTGGTTCGGACTAGGGAGATGCATATAAGAGCGTCTCGATGGATGGGTAAGTTCACCAAAGTCGTTCTACATCACTAAGTTTGCTGCTTCAACCACCCATGGCTCCACAGCGCACACTATCACTCTCTCCTCTTGCGTTGGCTCGCCGACCTTCCTCCTACCCGCCTCCTCCTGTTCGCCACTCTAAACCTCGTACTGATTATTCTGATGTTCCAATGTGGCAGGTGAGGATGAAGGTCAAGCTGCGCTCAGCCCACAACCTCGGCACCTGTGATTTTGAGACTATGCCCCCGACACTCCATAAAATTTGGTAGTAAGTATTTCATTCCGATTACATTCCAACGCCCTGCTGAAGCACATTCTTCTAGCCCACTCGATGCGAACAGCGGTATTATAGGCCCATCCCAGCTCGCGGAGTACATGGAGCGCCATTTGCTCCCGTACCCGCGCTGTATGTGCAGTGTACGTTGCCGGTTTATCAAGTGCCGTACTGGGGTTAACGAAGCATCAGGAAAATCCCTTTTTGATTGCCGGAACCAAAAAGAACTTTTTGTGATCTGATCGACTTTAATCATCTTGATATGACGTCAAAGATGGAAGAAGCAGTGCTTATACTTTATCTATCTTTAAAGTACTTTCTGTGTCTTGTGTAACTGCTACAGTGCTAGTAATGCCATATCATCACTTCAACTCTGGAGGTTGTATCTTCAGCTCCCTAGTATCCATGTATTGTGCTGTATGCTCATACCTAGCTGTTAAAACTGCAGCCTTGAGTTTAAACTGACTCTTCGGATCCAGCGCAATGTTGACCATATAAATGTCCTGTTAGGCATAGCAGAGATGAGAAGCTTACACTATTTACTAGCTAACTTACTCACATGTTTGTCTCTCCAATTCTGTCCCACAAGTCGAATATTAGACACCCATCCTCGATAGAGCTCTCCTTCCATCAGCGTTCCCTCTGCCTCCCAGAAAGTGATCAAGTCTCCGTCTTCTAGGATCTCTACCGAGGCAGACCTCGGATCCTTCACTCCATCTCTTGCTGCCCGGTAGAAGGGAAGACTATGTGAGCCAGATGCCTTTAGATGGGACACTAGATGAGCCATGGAGACTAGGTAAATATTGAATACAGAGTCAAGAAGAGGCAGTACATAACACTTCCCAGTACCATCTATTACCAAATTGTCTGATAGGCGTATAAGCTAGCCCAGTTATTTACAAAGAAAGAAGTACACTGGTCCAAAACACGATTAGAGGTCCACTCTCGTGGAACGTCATTTCGACCAAACTTCGGAATTAGTTGACAACTTTGCCTGATATCAGTTACTCGCACTATCTCTCCAGGATATGTGCCATCCGCCCTAAGTCCTAATCTTGACACGTCGTACATCATATGAGAAGGGTTTGCTGCTGGCTCTAGAGGGCTATACCACTCCACATAAGCTAGAGTCTCCTTCGGCCAGGCAGCAGGTGTTGGGATACTATCAGCCCCAAAGCGCAATAGGGCTGGAAGCTTGAAGATAACCTTAACTCTCGCAATGCGTGTTCCTAATTGACTTGAGATGAGATAACCCAAGGGTAGGCACACAAAAACTTACCTTCTAAACCTGTAGATTCAGCACGTTCATCGGTCAAAATCACAGCTGTATCAAAGCGTCCGGTGTTAGATAGACCTGGAGGACCAGGTTGAGCTTTGATTGAGTCACGTATGTCTTCAGCCATCGAGAAATCTCAGCGATCCGGTGTTCATGGAAATCAATTCCGAAATACTCACGAGGTTCCTCCAGTATTTGACGGCATCAGCTCAGCCTTCCAGCAGCAGCCTCGGACGCTCGTGCGTGAGATAGGAGCGCCTGACAGAACCGCCGGATGTGGGCCTCGTCTGCGTCAGTGTCTCCAGTGCCACCGTCGCCGTCCGCCCAACCTTGAAGACAGCACCGCCCGTAAGGATACCCAGGTCATCCAGGATGGACTTGTGGTTGTCGCCGAGCCCTGGAGCCTGGACAGTAGCCACCTGTAGCTTGGTGGGGGACGCGGTGGGCAGTGTGGGCGCGGGAGCGTCGACGATGACGGCGGTGAGCGGGTCGTGAAGGCAGGGGTGTGGTTAGAAGAGAATGAAGTATGTTTACATACCTTCCTGTAGCCCTCTCGTAATCGTATCCCTCAGACTTGAGGCTCTGTACAAAGTCCTCTGGTGCTTCCCAGCCTTGCTCGAGTACGTTAGCTCGTATGACGCCGTTCATCGTTTGGGTGAGTTGCTCGGTTCGTAGACGCGCGCGTCGACGCGTACGATGTTCGTGTAATGCGGTCTTGCCCGGGCGGGAGTCGTCGGAGCCGCGCTTGTTCTACAGTCGAGCAGAGCGCGGGCTAAAGGGAGGAGGAAACGTGGTTGTCTTTGCCAATAGAAGTAGACTACGTCGAGGACGGCAGACGCGACGAGCGGGGGCGGGTGTTGGGAGAGAGTCGGAGGTTGGATCGAGAGGGGGAGAGGCGGTGTAGCGGGATGGCGAGCATGGGGAGGACCGTGTTTTCTGAAGGGCGTTAGCTACACAATCTGCGCCAAAGACTGATGATACTCACCTTTATTTCCCATTCCCGTTCCCTTCCCATTCATGCCCCCCTGCCCCTCGCTGTACCTATCCTTCTCCTCAGCCTCCACAACACACGCCTCGCTCGTCGTCAGCAAGTTCGCGACACCAGCAGCGTCGACCGATCATGTCGACGTACTGACCCTTGCTCACGTCGTACCCCCACGCGAACTTGTCCGGGCTGCCGTAGTTGGTAGTCAGCGAGCCAATGATAATCCTCGCCCACGTTCGAAAGGATCGTCCGGGCGGGCTGCGTCAAGGCACGGCGGATGAGGGACACTCCCAGATCTTGATCAAAGTTGGCCGTCTGGATTGGCTTGGCGTCCGGGAGGTGGGCTGGCTCGAGGGGCCAGGGGCGTTCGTGGCAAGTGCCAAAGAAGCCTTCAGCAACGCAACGCCTCCGCCGGGCAAGATACCCTCCTCCACCGCTGCACGGGTAGCGTTGAGGGCGTCATCGTATCGGTCCTTCTTCTGGATGGCGTCCTTGGATCCTTCACCGTTGAGAATGATCGTGTCGTCCTTGGTGATGGTGACCGAGCCGGTTGAACCAAGAAGCTCAGGCGTAGCCTGCTCAAGCTTGATGTCCAGCTCGTACGTGAAGACAGTCCCGCCGGCGAGGATAGCCAGGTCGTCCAGGATGGACTTGCGGTTGTCGCCGAAGCCTAGGGCCTTGACAGCAGCCACCTGTAGCTGTCCGCGGAGCTTGTTCAAAATGCACGCAGCGAGTGCCTCGCCGTCGACATGCCCTCCGTGATCTCGATCTCTTCCTCGATCGTCCGGCCCTCCTTCACAGTGATGACACCCTCCTTGCCGACCTTCTCCATAGCCTGCGCAATCAAGTTGCCAACGTGGGCGTCCCCGTTTGCAGAGACCGTCGCGACCTGGGCAATCTCGGCAGTCGTGGTGATTGTCTTGCGTTCAAAGAGAGGAACTCGACGAGGCACTCGACGGCAGCTTGCGAGCCCCGGCGGAGGTCCATGGGGTTGCAACCCGCGGCGACGTTCTTCACACCCTCCGAGTAGATCGCACAGGCCAGAACGGTTGCAGTCATCGTTCCGTCACCGGCCGACCGCAACTTCATTAGTTTTTGACGCGACGTCCTGGACAAGACCGGTCGCGAACGTCAGTATCGCGAAAGGGCGCCGCGGAGGCGGCGAGGGCTACTCACCGTGCACCCAAGTTCTCAAACTTGTTTTCTAATGAAATCAACTTGGCAACGGTAACACCGTCTGTCTGTCAGGTATAATACTTAGTGTCCCCCGTCTGAGAAACGACTTGCATGCGTAACGTACCTTTTGTGATCTTGGGACCGCCAAACGACTGCTCGATGATGACATTCCGTCCTGCACACCTTTGAGTACTTGGAATATTTGGATGCAAATACAACACTGCTTACCTTTCGGACCCAAAGTAACACTGACTGCATTTGCGAGCGTATCAACACCCTTGAGAATACTGCGTGTCCCTCATTAGAGAACTTGATCTCTTTGTGGGCGCCTACTGTCCACAGTTGTTGTCTTTCAAATCCGTGGTGATATGGACTAGAGGTAAGCCAGGCAGGAGTTGAGTGACGCGAGCTCTGGGGGTTGGTTGTTCACCGGTGTGGCGCATCTGGCTCTGCCGTCTCCCGGTCGGATTCAGCGAACTCCAGAATGCTCTAACATTCAACATACCTTGTCAAATGACCACCTGTCAGTACCCTCTCCACAGGGCATCACAGAGGATAGCCGACTGAGCAGAAAACGAAGACGCCAGAGACATAGACTACACCTCATTGGCGTAGAAAGCCTTGAGTCCAATCGTGGGAAAGCTTGCGGTGAGGGCGCAAGCTTTCCCATACGCCTTTTGCAAGCCTTCCCTGGCCATGGCGAGCTATACTCTGTCAGAGGAAGAGATCAATGCTCTAGTTCCACTCTTGAGGAGTTCAACTGAAAGCTGCTCACCTCCTGACTCTGCTTTACTGAATCTTCTTGAGAATCTGGCCTACTTGCAGGCAAAGAACCAGCTTTCCTCAAGTGAATCCTGGGAAGCTTCGGACGGTGGTGTTCCATCCTCGGAGAGTCAAGAAGGGAACTCTAGTCTTGATGGTCAATACAGCTCTGTACCTACAATACAGGAGGCGCCTCAGCCTGGTGCGTCCTAGTGGAATCCTGCTATATGAGAAGCTGATTAGTATCCTCTGTTACAGCGCAGCGGGAAGACTTAAATAAAGGGCGAAAGAGGAAGAAGTCTCGTGCCAAAGGCTCCTCTAAGAGGCAGAAGAAGGACTCGGAAGTATCACCTGGTGGTGGAGAGGCAGGCCAACCTGGAGGCCAGCCTGGAGACCCTCTGACATGCCCTCGTGGAGGCGCTACTAGGATGTCAAGGTGGACTCAGGTTAACGAGTCTGTTTCTGGGGGCAAATCTGCCGCTGTAATGTTGGGCAGATTCTTAAGCTCTATTACTTCTTGTCAGAATAGCTGGGTGCCTACGAACAGCTGGACTTCTCTCCTTCGCAACTCGTTGGATTTCCCTGCCAGATCTGTTGATAATCTCTCTTCATGTGTTACACTTTTACCTCCACCGCTGATGTTACGCCTATATTTCTTAGACATTCGTAACAATGTGGAAGCGATGCTGGATGACGAGGAGCAAGCTCCTCAGTTTAACCTGGGTAAGAAGAGAACTGCTGTAGTTTTGGACGATGAAGAGGATGCGTTGGCTGGTGTATTGGGAGGTGCTGTGCAAAGTACGTGTATAAGCTTATTGTTATACTATGCCCTGACAATCAGTACTCCAGGCCATGGTGGTCGTCGGGGCAATGAACATGAGGATAGGGATGAGAGTGAGATTGAGGAGGAACGAGATGGAGGCAACATGAGCCACAGAGGTGAAGGTGGTGAAGGTAGTGAGGTGGAGGAAAAAAGTATCGGCGAGGAAGATGAGGATGAAGAGGTTGGGTCGCTTAAAGGATCTAACCAAGCAAAGAGCAGCGTGAGTCATCATATCTTGAGGCACCTCTTAACTGTAACTGGCTTTGAAGTTTGTTATAGAAAATGGTTCAGCTTCAAAGCGTCGAAAGACAGACGTCAAGGAAGTTGACTTTATAGCACCAGGTAGAGCGCCAACTCTCAGCAGCTTCAAGTCCCCTATAAAGACTTTAGCCAAGGCCGCACATGAGTATCTCCGAGTAATTATTTGTACTTAGAACCCCTTCCCCACCCCTTCGGAGCAGGTCTCTGTTACAGATAAGGCAGTGGCAATGGCCCTAATTCAACTGCCGCAAGCTTTGAAGGACGCTTGGGAAAAGGCTGATGATGACCTTCGAGCCACAGTACGATCCTATGTAAGCATGTTCAAAGTCATACAGAGTTCTACTATTTCTAACTTCAGCCCTTGAGTTATGGACGGCTGTCAGTGCTGTTCGCAACCAGATCAAGCAAAAGGGCGAGGAAGCAGTCGCAGACTATGGGATTCCTGGAAATCTCAAGCCTGATGATATCAAAGCACGTGTGCAATGGTTACTAGCTGATCACCATTATTCCTACGGCGGAGTGGACTTTAAGGTGAGTTTTATTCCTGAATTTAATATGCTGCAGTGTAACACAAGTTTGTGATATAGGCTCAAACGTACGACGAAGAAATGCCAATCTCTCATCCTGGAATTATTGGGGTGATTCGTCGGCAATGGTTTACTGGGACTAGATGCTTTGCAATCAGGTATCCGGATCATCTGAAAGAGCTTCCACCTCAGACGTGGGCATTGGCTATGACTTCGGTGTGTTCATCTAGACCGACTGATTTGCTATTAAATTACTAATAATACTATAGGTCATCCAAGCTCTAACGAGCTGGAAGGAGGGCAAGCTGAGTCCTAGCAAATTCTCCGAAGACAATGTCAAGGAGTCGTAAGTGTCCTACTGCAATATGTAAAGCTTGTGTCACTGATTTTATGATAAGTTATGTGAGCGCTCTCAGTTGGGTCACCCACTGGCGACATGAAACTCCGACTTGGTATGAGGATCATCTCAAGGAGACTCTGGCTGATATATGGTATCTATAAGTCTGTTGGCGATCTTAGTTATGAAACTAATATATCCTTCTATTAGTGAGACAACTCAGATTTCAATGACGCCCAACAGTAACTTCGATCATACGAATGAAGTTTGCTCTAGGCTGGAAGAAAAAGCCAAGGCTAAGCGCCAGGCTGCGTTAGCCTCTCAGGCTTGAGCATCTTTTGAATATTGTTGCCTTTTCTCATGCTCTTCTGCTCCTTCCCTTGCTCTGCTACTACCTGCTGTGCTGTCTTCGCTGATTTCTTACTCTCAATATCATGTAATTTACTTTGTGCTGCCCTGCAATGGATTAATTTGGATGAAACGATGATGAAGTACGCAAAGCATGCTTGGCGCTTGAAAGCATTCTTAGCACTTTAAAGAGAAGAAGTACAGAGATTTTACTTATCGGGCTGAAAAGTATACAATGGATCAAAAGTATCTATACTGGAGCAAAAGCTAGAAAAGATCCTCCTGTACTTGTGGGCCTTTGATCCTACTTTATGTTACTTTGTTGCGCTTTAAAATAGGGGGCATTCTTTTCCTTCTTCTTGTACTTCAACTACTTTAAAGTCATTTTGTCACTTAAAAAGTACACTTGGGTTTTCCTGATGAAGGGAAGCACACTTTTGCATGCGGTATGGGATATAAGTGCTTGTGGTGGTGTACGTTTACTTTTCACCCCTTCCATGAATTAGCTCTCATGACTTCTGCTAGAGGTGGTAGAGGATGTAGTCAGGCACCACGGCAGCGAGCTCAGGATGTAGTCAGGCACCACGGCAGCGACCTCTCTGTCCTGGAGTATTCGGGTGAGTAAAGTATCCTGAGCATTCTTCTATCGCTTAATTCTCCTACAGAGTTTAAGGATTTGGACATATCTTTGCCATGCCGCATGCCCAGTGGCAGGAAAAGTGCAGGCGAACTTGACTTGAATCAAGGTGCAACTCTTACTTTCAGCATGTGGGTCTTAGCATGGCTGTTTGACTCCGGGCTTGACAGCATTACGCCGGAGCATCTCTCCTGGGCCAGTTGCCCCTGGTATGTTCATGAACGGTGAGTATATTGTGCAGTCGGTCTGTTGGTCTTACTGAAGGGGTGGTATAGACATGGACACCTTCTTTACGGGCGCAGTGGCTTCCTCCCCACCTCCGTCTAGCCCCTCCCTCCCGAAAACCCCTTCCGGACTCATTTCCAAAGACGTCTGGGGTGCATACAAGCTTGGGCTGATGGCTGGCCTCGAAGAAGGCTCTCCGGCGGCAAAGCATGAAGCATCTAGGGCGCCTCCTGCTGGGACACTGCCTACCTCCCCAGGTATACCTCACTATTCGCTGGCCCCGCTTCCGATGCTGACATATGTTCTTCAGCTGTCTCTGTATCCTCGACAATCTCGTCAGAGGGTGTGGGACCCATCTATGGTGCTCGTGCGTATTCTTCTTCTCCAGCAAACTGTGCTTACATGTTCTGGACATAGATTACTCTTCGTCTGGGTACATCCTCCCATTCCCTGACACTCCGCTGTCCCAGTCTCGAGCATTTGATCACTGGACTCCCCCGGCAACAGTCTCGGCCTTGGCATCTTCATCATACAGCCTCAATGACCCACCAGCTGCCACTCGAAGTGAGATCACTTCTTGCTATGGCGTCTCGAAGAAAGTATTCTGGAATAGCTTCCAAGAATGTGGGCTTTGTGGATGTGTTGTCCACAGGGACTGGATGGCGGAGAAGGTAGGAGAGGACATTGAGATTGGCGGTGGGCACATGTGTGTCATAGACCTTACTGAAGAGAGCCCCCGAGCTCTTCAGGCTGGCAAGGGCAAGGAGAAAATGGACTAGATATCTCATTGTGCTCTCAAGTTCTGTATTTCTTGCACCAGAAACCTTGTATATACAAAACAGCTCTACCTAAAATTGCCCCTGAGCATACACTTGCAAGAACATGTGTGTGTTTATCGTGAATGTCTCTCGCGTGTAGTCGTCGTAGTAGTAGTAGTGCTAGTGAAATGCGCGGGTACACCCGCGGGCGTCCCGCACGTACCAGTATTGCACCCATGTCGAAACCCGCGTCGACGGGTCGGGTATGGGTACGCGGGTACCCGCGGCTTTTGGTTTCAAGAGCGTGTCGAGCGACGCATTCTCGAGACCCACCGGGTCACGGGTACGGCCAAACGCGACCCGTACCCGTACCCGCCGGCACCCGTACCCGCGACCTGCACGGGTTCTCGCAACCCGTGCTTTGCACTAGTGTCTACAGTAGAAAGAGGAGTACACTAAGTACCTGGCACAAAGGCATTGTAAATAGGACGTACGTTGCACAGGCCCGCGTCGGGCCTGTTAATCTGAGGCAAGCAATCCACATCGAGAGGCAGATGCGCGGCTTCGCCGGCGGCGTGGAGTTCTTCCCAGAGTGAGTCCGAGGTCTGCGGAGAGTGATGTGGGCTTTAGTATAGGGAAATATGAGGGAGAGAGCACCTAGATGAACCGAGAATACGCCAGTCTCTCCCAGGGCAAATGGCCAGGCCGGGGCAGGGCTCGCCAGCGAGGACGGCACGGCTCTCGGCGCCTGTGCTGTAGGATGTTGGAATGGCCACGCGGGACGTTCAGCAGCTAGGGACGAGAATCTCGAGAAAGAGCTCGTGTCTCAAGTGAGTTTGGGACTTCGTCGGGGTGGAGAAGGCCCGGGCTCAACCCTAACCTTGGCCGTATACCTGCGCTTGATGCGCTCGAGGCGCGACGCCACCGACATGCCTGGGACGTGCGCGCTTGCGCGTTGTTTACCTCTCGCGTTTCAGTCTCCGATTACTTGGCTGAGGGCTGCGAGTATAAAGCGGGCTGCGCGAGCCTGCTAGCCCACCACCGCGCCCATTCCTCCTCGCACTTTGCTCACAGCTTATTGCTCTTGGGTCGGCGCCCGTCTGGCTTAATCGCGCGTGTCCCGCATACCCGCGGACTGCTGGCGTCCTGGGCTTAAAATGCTAGGCACGCTGCTTTTCTCTACTCTCGCCCTGAGGGGCAGGGCTTTGCTGTTGATTCCAGGACCCCAAACTTGGGGACCCAGTCTCGCAGTAGGGCTCTGTACTCCGGGGCTTGGGCTCTTCGCGATAAGCTTTGCTGACTGAGGCTCCTGATGCAGACTTTCTCCTCCGTGCATTCCGCTGCACCCGCTCTGGAAAAGAGTACTCGGCATATTCCCGCCCCGACCCCGTGCTGGTGGATCCCGCGTTCAACTTGGAGGCTACCCTCGACGCGGCCGATGCCCGGGCCTACAGCCACGAGCTCGCCGGCGACGCTGCACCCTTGGACGACGACGATATGGAGCTCACGGATGAGTCGCCTTACAGTGCTGCGGGGCTCAATCAGTCCAGTACCTGCCCGCCACCCTCTCAAAACCCCTCTGAAGGCAAGGGCCCGAATCACAAGGCCCGCGATCGGTACAGGCGAAAGCGGCGGGCTGATCGTGAGGCAGAGCAGGTGCGGGAGGGTATGAAGCAGAAGAGAGTAGCCAGGAAACGGCGCTGGGCTGCTGGCGATGCTGTCGAGGTCAGGGTGTTCGAGGAGCTGCGCACTGGGGCATCAGGATATCAGGGTCGGTGCCACCGTGTCGGCATTGAAGAGAAGCGTGAGTACGCTCTTGACAGCCCTGAGATCCAGGACATGCAGTATATCCCCTGGGATGGATGGTGAGTGCGCTTTTCTTTATGCGTAGCCTTCGAGGCTGGATGTCTGGGTCTATAGTACCATGCGACCCATTTCGCTTGGCAGCGCTGACGACTCTCTTGTCGTTGGCGTACTTGTTGGCTCTCCGAAGGACCGAACTGCATGGCAGCAGGTTACTGAAGCCGCTTCAGAGGCTCTCGCGGTGGCACTGGGCTCGTATCGATTCAAAGCCTCTCGAAGCAGCCATCGCCGAGGTGACTTCGCCAGTGGTAATTTTGGGATTGCTCATGGCGGGGGTCGAAAGGTGCGTCCACTTCTGGCTTGCCTGATGATAGGAACTCAAGCCATATAGGAGCCTGGCAACATACGGGTCTCTTCGCTCCACAATGTTGAGGTTCTCCATGCCCTTTTTTCTAACCCGTATATCCAGTATATATTGGGGTTCACTAGCAGTAAGTGCGTTCTCTGAGCCCTGGCGGGGCATATGCTGACTGCTAATCCATCCAGGCTCATTGAACCTCATTGCCCCTGATCTGTACACATACTTCTTCACGGTCCTGTCAGGTATTTGTGCACAGTATCCCCTCCTTGCTTGCTTCTGGGCTGGCTCGGTCTTTGCTTGCTGCTGTTTCAATTTCGGTCCAAGGGTCACGGCCTACATCCACACGGACAACTTCAACATCCCCTTTGGATGGTGCGCCATCACTGCATTGGGCCGGTTCAATGCGAAGCGTGGGGGCCACTTAGTCCTCTGGGATTGGCGGCTCGTGGTTGAGTTTCCACCTGGCTCTACTATATTCATTCCCTCTGCTCTAGTGCGACATTCAAATATCCCTGTCAGCGGGCATGAGAAGCGCTTCTCCATTGTGCAGTGGATGCCTGGGCCGCTTTGTCGATGGTTTGACTTTGGCTTCCGCTCTGCTCAGAGCTATGAAGATGAGTATGGACAGGCTGGTGCAAGGGAGGCAAATCTAGCTCGCTGGCGAGAGGGTCTTAAACTCCTCCCTCGGCTAGGTGAATTCCGTGGACGCCCTTAGCATGAATAGCATAATGGCTAGATTTTAATACCTGTACGGCTGAGCTACATCATATAGTTTGTATCGCAAATGCATTATTGGATGTAGTAAACTATGGACGACTACAATGTGCCATGCGATGGCTTCCGCTTCTGCTTCAACTCTGGGGAAGGCGTTAAGAGAGCATTCTCCCGAGAACGCTTGAGGTGCGCGGCAGGCCGGTGGGACTCGGAATGAGCCAGAGTCTCTTCCCGAGCTTTACCCCAAGAGCTGGCAAGCTGTCTGACTACGATCTCAAATTCCCGCACTTTCTCGGTCGGCATAATGCTGTATTCTTGGCTGAGAAGTGCAAGCCCATGCAGGTGTGGAAGAACACTGTCTAATATCTGGTTAACCCGCTGCTGGACCTGGATGTTCAGCCCTGCCACGCCTGCCTGCAACCGGAGTATGAAGAGGTGGCCAGCAATAACTCATACTTATGCTTACATACCTGGAGAAGGCCTTCCACACCATCGATGCACTCTGGCACTGCACGCTCCTCCGCCCCTTCCTGCTCATCACCGGCACTTGCAGCAGGCACTATCGGCCTCAACTCATCCTCAGGCTCTTCGATGCCTGCTAGGTCTTGCAACGTAAAAACATTATCAATGATGGCAATCGTTGCATTTGGACCACTCTCGGTTGGAGGTTTGGGAGGCTCTTCAACATCCTTGGCCTCCAGTGGTGTGTGCGGGTAGTAGAAAGGCGGTACTTGTCCCGATGCCACCCAATTGTTGATCCGCACCCTAAGAGCTCTTAGGTGCTTGCATGCGCCCCCACGATGGGCGAAATCTGGGCAGGTGCACGAAGCATAGCCGGCACGATGGATCACAAGACAATAGGGGGCGCGGGTGGGGTCGGCAGTAGAAAGGCAAGTGGCTTCAAACTGGTGTTCGCTGGCACTCCGAGTAACTGACATGAGTAGCCCCGCTCTCAGTATGGAGGCTGCCGCATCATCCCGTGCACAGTCAGCACCCCACCAGCATGGCTTAGGGTTGCCCTGTCCCTGCCGTAGCACACGCCTCTCCTCCTGCAGCACCTGAAATAAGTCCACACCCCCTGAGTATCTTTGAAATCGGTCTGTAATCCATCGCTGATACTGTTGGCGATGGCGCCGGGTCGTAAATATCTCTGGGAGAATGCGCGTGATAAGGATGTGGATGAGAAAGTCAAATCGAAGGCGAACACCGGAGTGCTGCCATTGTGGTATGTACTTGCCCTTCAATACGCCGTTGAAGGATTCCAAGTGATTCGTCGTAGTAACACCACTTTCCACAGGGATCCCTAGCTTTGATGAAGCGACCATCCTAGCCTTCAGCGACCAGCCCTGCCAGAGTGCCTTCGGCATCCAATTAGTTGACAGGTAGTCCAGATACTGCCTTCCTGCCTCAGCTGCTGCTGCAGCTCCAGGGTCCCCAAGTCGGGCCAGAGTGGCAAGGTGAGCTCGCTCCTCCTCAATGAGTTTCGTGGCTTCTTCATGCTCAACGCTATTCAGCAGGCTGGCCTTTGGGTTAGAATCGGCAGCTTTGAGTTCAGTTGAACACTTACAGATCCTCCAGGTTCAGTAGCCATCCCCGTACATGGCTCTTCAGCATTTCCCCTCGTCCCCCTCGCAATAGCTGATCCCTTCGGTTAGTCCAGCACTGGCGGACGTGGAACTTGCAAAGCAGCAGCCAGATGGAAGGCCATACTCTGAGCAGTGCTCCACGCTCCTTGACATCGGTATTGGTGATCGCAACGTAAGGAGTGAATATCTCAGCTCGGCCTTTGGAGAGATGATCTCGCCAAGCTTGGAGGAGCTCAGCTAGAATGTCAGTACTGTAGCCGGCATGTGTCGCACGAGTCCCTGTGGGTGCTGAGAATAAGAACAGAGCCAGAGGCACACCCTTCCGCTCAGCATCTATGCCCATCACCACGAAGAGAAGCAGGCGTGAACTGCAAAGCCCGAATGTTCCATCCAGCATCAGAGCTGAGTGGTGGCCATACTCCCAGGCGCAGCTATCCATCTCTTTTGTGGATATGCAGACCTTAAGCCTCTCTCCTGCCTCTGCACGCTTCGAGTAGTGGAACACGGCATCCGAGATCTCTGGCCGGAAGTTGGGAGAATCGCGGTCAAGCCATTCGTGGAGATTGTACTGAGGGGGCACCCGAGTGTCGACTCCCTGAGCCTTGTTGAATAGATAGTACAGATAGGAGGAATCACGTGGCAGGAAGTGATACCGGTGATTAGCAGTTCGGGGGTCATAGTTGTCCATATCACGGTAACTTCGAGAGATCAACATGGCATTGTTCTTTGACTGAACTGCGGTTATGCTATGGATGATACATGAGTGATGCCTGAAGAGTTTAAGTGTATTCATGTACCTCGCTCCCGAATGCAGTTGCTCCAGCGCAACCTCATAAACATGAGGGTGTAGTGGAACTGCTGGTCGGCGCTTCAGGACCGCAGAGTTACATTCATCGTGGTGGCATAGGTAGCCGACAATGCGAGAAATGGCACCATCGCTGTCGCGCTCGGTGATCTCAACATGTGCAAGACACCTGACGAAGTCATAGGGATTCCGTCGGCCAGCAGTCCCGGAGGCTTCTCGATTCCCGTCACTCTTCTCTTCCTCCACAGGCTCTTTCTTGGCTTCCATTGCCTTGCGAGCGGCACTGCTGTAGCCACACGAGCTTCATGGCTATTCAAAACATAGTTGACAAGATATGTAGTTATTAGATATACCATTGAAATAAAGTACGTCGCCGCATATCCCCTGCCACCCGCCACTTAGTACCCCACTGGACATTCCATCGGTTCTCCAGCTGCTCACGGGAGTGCTGGTTGAGGCTGCGAGCTTGGAGGAATTTCGTCACTTCTCGCTGGATATCGGGGTTGTCAGGGTCATATTGTTCCGAGAAAATGTCGCCTTGTTGATAAATGGCCGCAATAGCTGCCTGTTGGGCGGAGTCAAGCGAGAGCTTCTCGAGCTCCGGCTAGGGACATGGTGAGCGTACAACATTACACGATGCAGGCAGGTTTCGTACCTTGGCATACAGTGTCCGAGTGCTGCCTGTTGGCCTAGGGGCAGAGGTACTCATGGCTGGGTCGAGAACTATGAGAGGAGGGACGAAGCACACCAGCTCAGGCAGAAGGGGTGTGCCGGATGGCAGAAAGGTGGGCTAAGGCATGCAGAAAGAGGTGTCAGGAATAACTTACTTGCAGCGCGTCCGCCCAAACTCCTCCACCATCGGAAGAAAGCCAAGCGTTGATCTCTCCCCCACACCTCGAGGCTGGCCCTCCATGTGAACGCAATCGTCGTCCTCTTGGTCGCCGAAGAGTGCCGGTACGTCGTGCCCTAGCAGCTGGCCAGAAGGAAAGCACAGCAGGTAATGTCGATGCAAGCTCAGGGCACTGTCAGAGCAAGATGGATGTTCCGACAGCGAGGATCATTCTGGGAGGATCCCAGGAGGAGTAAGGGACAGTAGGAATACTTGAAGCAGCTAGATTTCTGTAGCTGCCCAGAGAGATCAGACTGCCAGGCTGTGGGCAATAAAACATGAGGCTTACTTCGTGCAGCGAGGGCTGAGAAGTCCAGCTAGCGAGGAAGGCGCGGATCTGCCAATGGCCTGGCAACATCCTAGCGACTCAGCAAAACGGGCAACCAGCTGCCCTGACATAGGCAGAGCAAGGCCTTGACGACGACAAGCGACAAAGAGGAAATCAGCTGCAAATGAGCAGATTGACGCAGTCTGATGGCCGGGCTGACAGCGAACGTTCACAACTGCTGATGGAGAAGCACAGTCGTGCTTCCTCCCATCAACTGCATCGTGTGAACTTTGGGCACACCGGCTAGCCCTTTGTCAGCAAGGTGGTCACACTGAGTGATCGATTTTGATGGGATAAATAGACTTCATCGTCAAACCGCAATGATTTTTGCCGCCGCGAGCTGCAGGAAGGAAAAGAACCAAGTACCTGCCAGATATGGTAATATTCATGAGGATGGAGTGTTAGCCGACGCTACACAGCTAGACAGACCTGTGCTGGAAATCCTATGGAGCACTGATGCCTAGGTTCCGACGGCCCTGCCAACAGATACCCAGAAAATTTGCACGCAGCTGTTGTCTGCGGTGCTCCTATTGGATTCCAACCATCTCCCCGATTGTGTCACTCACAACCCACGTGACTCCACCCACCATTGCGGCCAGGGCATGGTCGCATATTATCTCTCCGTTCCACCACGTATAATCTGCCAGTAGACAACGATGTATTACTAGTTTGCAATATATTGAAGGAACTATGGTTTTGTTTGAGACATGCTTTCCCTCGCTAGGCTAGCCATATCGAAGCTGTCGCCGAAGGTGACAACATGTTCCCCCTCCATCATCCGCATCTCCTCTACCAGGCTGGCATTGAGATCCACCTGCAGCGCTGGTGCAGCGCTGACGCTGGTGCAGCGCTGACGCTGCGTTGTTGGTATCTTTTGATGTCCTTCTCGATGATGTCCTTCTCCCATCTAGAATACATCGCCCGTCATCATTATCACAGACTAGATCATAACATCTGCACTCACGTTTTCCATTCCTCCGAGCTATCCCGCGTAGTGCCGTGCTGAGACACTACCGCTGCTAGTCGTGCTTCGAGAGCCTTCCAGAAGCCGGTGTCACCGCCTTGTACGCCCTTCTTCGTAGTTAGCGGGGCAGCAACATCTCGCTGATGCGTTGGTTAGTCTAGCTCGTTTGGAGTTTGAATACAAATACATACCATTAAGGCTAAAGATCCCATGATCGCTTGGGGAACCTCCTTGGGCTTGACGGGAAGGTGGTAGCTTTTGACAATAGTACTTGCGAAGTCATCGAGCGGCACCTTGTTCGTGATTGATGTCCATACCTGAACATGATATAAGTATCACTCGTGGGCCAATGCTTTATGGTCTGACGCACTGCCTTCCGCAGGCCACTCTTGACTTCATTGTACTTATTGTTTACCCATTGATCGACCTGGGTGCGTATTGTTGCATCGGTCACGTAAAGTCGAAGTCGAACCTTGTCTGCGTGATCGAAGATATACCTCTAGAGTATAGTCTTTATGAATGAATGAGATATGTCAAGACAATGATGTGCTTACTCCAACTTGCTTCGGTATGACACTGTATGAATACTGTGGCTGAATAATGTAATGACGCAGTAACCCTTTCAGTATGGCCTGTAAAAGGGGCTTAGTTGCTACTGGAAAGCACAGGGCACTGACGCACTCACCTCATGGTCATCCGCCGGTTGCCAGCCTTGATCTACCTTTGCTTCAATGGTGTTTAACTTTTCTTTAAGAACCGCGAGCGTGTCGGTAAGAGCCTGATTCTGGTTCGAGGCGTGGAGACAGCTACAGAAAAGCACCAGCAGGCGCTCATCATGTGCCATCTGCCATGATACGTCAGCGCTCAATTATAGCTTATGAATACAACAAACCTCGTTGAAGCGATGGACAAGGTCACGCTGTTTCAGAAGTCCGTGGTCGTTAACCATCCTGTCGATATCTGCACTGGTCACATAAGCTTGTGTCCCCATATTCATGCTGTTGGAATGGCCCAGGGGGGGCACCACCAGTACGCGGCGTGAATGTCGGGTACAAATGTTCTATATCTCGTGCACCAGATGGATGATGCGGGGTGCCTGGTATGGGCATCTGCGAAGGTGGGATAGTATTTTCGTCGACAGATCCTAGGCCGTCCGAAAAAGATCTATGAGCGCTAGACACTCGAGGGTAGGGCTCATATCTATTATTTGCAGCACTGTTTGCACGATTCACAGTTGGTGAAACAGAGAAACCTGTTTGCAGAGAGGACATGGTGGCGAGGATGAGATGTAAATTTCTCAGACGCAGCGGACGCGCGAGTGCCAAACATGCGAACACAACACGTCCGGTCGTGTTGTGTCGCGTCGCATCATGCCGCGTCGAATCCAATCTCATAACCTGGGAGTATCACCGTTCAGACGAGTCCTTGTCACACAAAGAGGGATAACAATGAAAAGAGTCGCCGCAAAGGCAGCTCAAGCTCGAACCCGAGAGTATGTCATTACTCCTTCTATCACAAATCATAACCTCTAAACTTCGATCACGAGGCTGCTGGATGATCAGCATGGGTTTCTCAATAGCCAGATAACTGACTCACAAGTGGTCAAACACCTGATGGATGGTATCCCCGATGCTCGTGGTATGTGATTCCCCTTGAAATACGTGCAGTCGGAGTCTTGTGTGACCTCTATATTGCAGACGATCGTGTCCAAGATGTCAAAAGGCGGTGATCGTCGAGCCGCGATCAGGCAAGCATCACGGGTATATCTGCCACGTCGGTTGTGGAATCCAGTGGGACAGTCGACGACTGGCCGAGATCCATAGAAAATCGGCTGTGCGCTATTGAGAGGGCATCACTCTTCACACTTGATCAAATCATACCCTCAGTTGCCACTCTGGAAGATCGCGTCAGTGAACTGGAGAAGAACATCAAAACGAGCACCGAGCAGCATTCCCACCTTTCAGAAACTGTTTCTCATGTTCAAGAAAGCTTGGCCCGAATGCTCATCATCCTGAATGAACAGCTGGCTATGGGCAGATGTATCCCTGGAGAAAGACGTGGTCCAAACCCCGAGGTTGAAGAAGACTCGCAGGATCCATACGCACCTTCACTCGAATCACAAATTGAAGCAGCTATTCTCGGAGGGGAACGTGTTATGGCTGGTCGACCGCCCTGTGTCGATCCGAAGTACTGGGATAGCAGTAGAAAAACTGACTAGATGATATTATGTAGCTATAACAAAGTCGAACATTGGTATGAAGTAGAAAACAAGAGCGGAACATGCGCTGAGGATGACTCCGGCCATCATGCTTCCATCCACGCAGAGAACAGAAGTTCACGCCACACTCTAACTCCGCGCGGTCACCTCGCGCCGTTCCCCACGTCGTCCATCGCACTGCACTGGTCGGGTCGGTGGACGAACACCTGTGATTGTTGACTGACCAGCATCGTGCGTGGTTGTCCAGAATCCGCAGAGTACGAGGACAGTGCAGATGGCATGCTCCAGGGATACGAGCTTTGCGGAGTCGGATGCACAAGCATAGAGCTCCCACTCTCTTGATGGTGCCCTATGCGTTGTTTGCACATTGTGACGTGTCCCTCACATCAGCTGAAGGGATAGCACCTGGGACACTGACAGCTGTTGATGTAGTCTCCTCGATGTGACTGCTGCAGAGTTGTCCATTGGTGCGTGCCCGCGTCGCTTGGTGTGGATTAGGTGCTGATGGAGCATTGGGTTGCTTCCGTTTCTTAGCGGATGTGTTGCCTTTCGCTTTGCTTTGGGTAAGATCCCATTCCTTGCGGTTCTGCACCGCTGCTTTGATCATTTCTTGATGCGTCTGGTGTTCGGGCTCTGGGAGTACGTGATGGAGTGACTGTATTATGCTCGAGCTGCGCAGCTGCGCCAGATTCAAGAGTCTATCTTCAGGCTCCACACTGTGCAAGTACTCACACTCTCGGTTAATGGTAATTTGGCGTTCTTGAATGACATTTCGAGTCATAGTGCTGACACAACCATGTTCAGCACAGTTGTGGATCGTGCTCACCGCACACAAGATATCCTTGATGGTGGTCAGAATTCTTTGATGGCTAGTTCTCGGTGCATTCCCTCTCACCTCAAAACTCAGGAGACATTGTGCATTCGCGACACGCCGGCAGCGAGGAAAACGGTAAGGCTCAATCTCCGATTCAAGAACACATGGAACAACCAGCATGCCGATCAAGGACTTGTGTGTTGGGTGCACGAGGATTTCTTGAACCTGGCCGACCTTGGGTAAGTCCTTCTCACCATAGGCAACATATTTAGATGGTGCGATGCGATCTCCATTTGCTAATGTGAGATCCTGGCATTGCAGGACTGTATCCAGTTCCGAGGCCAGCGGGCAGTCAATACCTGCTTCTGCGCATTTCGTAGTGTTCCAGGGTATGGCTCCTTCCTTTGCAACCAGAATGTACTGACCTACAACATGACATCATGAGGACACTGTTCAACCCAGTACACACAATTTTACTCACCCGCTTTGGACTGCTCATCCAGAGCAGTCATGCACATGAACTCCTGAAACTCGCGGTCATTCATCAAGGCTCGGACACCTGCACCCGCCTGGCGCGGATGTTCCCATGGCTCTCCAGCCACACTGCAAATAAGGTATCCGCCAGCGACTCTTCTTGACTCTGCACCAGTTGGCACCCTTCCGGGGTCCTCCAGCGCGGCGGTCATTAGAGTAGTTTTCTCTACAATTTCTCTCTCAGGGCGACTTTCTGGCTTTTCTCTCCTCTCTACTGACTCCTCCCGGTCTCACCTGGTACTTCGGACTAAGCTACATAATCTTAATAACATCGGTATGTCGGGCGCGACGAACGAGAAGTCGGGCCCTGCCAGCAACCTCACGGCGAGGACCCCGGGAAACCGGGTCGGTCTCCGAAGTGCTTCCGAGCTGTGGGCGGGATTCTTAACTGGCGCCGTCCGCGACACCGCGTCCGCAAAGACATATCTTATCAAGAAGAATTATATCCTAGAGACAGAAAGAATCACCCTCGGAAAGTTAGCGGATGCCTTAATGGCCACCACAAAA